CGTCCTCTCACCACATCTCAGTGAACCACTACAAGTGCCCACTCTGTGACATGACCTGCCCCTCTCCCTCCGCCCTCCGGGACCACGTGCGCTACCGACACTCCAACCAGCGAGAGTTCAGCTGTACCCTCTGTGACTACAAGTGAGTAGATTTAAACTGTTCATCTGTCTATTGATTTGTTCATTAATCGATTTGTTGATTAATGGATTTGAACGATGTAATCGAGTAAGCTGTACCCTCCGTGACTACAGGTGAGCAGAGTCCAGCGATTTATTGATTTGTTGATTGATCAGTTTGAACGATTTGATAGATTCAGCTATAACCTTTGTGACTACGGGTGAGAAGAATCGATCTATCGATTTTTTATTGATCAATTTCAACCATTTGATCTATCAAGCTATAGCCTCTGTGACTACAGATGAGGGAGTACATCGATCTATTGATTTTCTAATTGATCAATTTGAACGATTTAATAGATTAAGCTGTAGACTCTGTGGCCTCAGGTAAGGAAAGTCCAACGATCTACTGATTCGTTGACTGATCAACTTGAACAATTTAAAACTTTTCATCGATCTATCTATTTGTTGATTTATCCATTTCAATGATTTTAAACGTTTCATCGATCTATTTATTTGTTGATTTATTCATTTCAATGATTTCAAACATTTCATTGATCTATTTATTTGTTGATTTATTCATTTCAATGATTTCAAACATTTCATTGATCTATTTATTTGTTCATTTATCCTTTTCAATGATTTCAAACATTTCATTGATCTATTTATTTGTTGATTCATTCATTTCAATGATTTCAAACATTTCATTGATCTATTTATTTGTTGATTTAGCAATTTTTCTGATTTGGTACATTCCATTGATCTGTTTATTTGTTGATTGATCGATTTGAACCATTAGATTACGCTCTGGCCTCTGCGAGAAGATGGGAGTTAATCGGTCTATTGATTTGTTGGTGGATCAGTTGGGCAATTATTTGAAACATTTTATCTGTCTGTTGATGTAGCCCATCAGTCTGTTGTTTAGTTGGTTGCTCAATTAAACAATTTGATACATTTTATTGATCAAATGATTTTGTTGATTGAACAATGTGCACATTTTGTACCTTCCGTTGATCTGTTGGTTTGTTGATTAATCCATTTCAACCTATAGATTTAGCTGTGGCTTTTGCGACTACAGATGAAAGGAGAGTTTAGTTGTTGGTCCGTTAATCTAAACTTGGCGTTGATTTATCAATTTCAATTTCATCGTGTATCAGTCAGTCAGTCTGCCAGTCAGTCAGTCAGTCAGTCAGTCAGTCAGT